CGGCCAAGGAAAGTGACCTGCCTCTTCCGACAGACAGCCTTCAGCATCATCTTCTCGGTTGCTGTCTCTTCAGTCCTTGCCAAAACCATCACTGTGGTGCTGTCCTTCCTGGCCACCAAGCCAGGCAACAGTGTGAGAAGGTGGCTGGGAAAAAGCTTGGCCAATGGCATTGTTGTTTCCTGTTCCAGCCTTCAAATCCTTATCTGCATCCTCTGGCTGGGCATGGCGCCCCCTTTCCCAGATACTGATATGCACTCCCAAGCTGAACAGATCATCCTGCAGTGCAATGAAGGGTCTCTCACAATGTTCTACACTGCCCTCAGCTACATGGGTTTCCTGGCTGCCGTCTGTTTCTTGGTGGCTTTCCTGGCCAGGAACCTTCCTGGGGCCTTCAATGAAGCCAAGCTGATCACCTTCAGCATGCTGGTCTTCTGCAGCGTCTGGGTGTCCTTCGTGCCCTCCTACCTGAGCACCAAGGGCAAGTACATGGTGGCCGTGCAGATCTTCTCCATCTTGGCCTCCAGTGCTGGGCTGTTGGGCTGCATCTTCCTTCCCAAGTGTTACATTGTTGTATTCCGGCCTGAACTGAACACAAAGGAGCACCTTGTGATGAAAACCAAAGATGGCAACTTGACATAGTTAGGAATTGGGGGAAAAGAATTCTCCTCCAGCACAGCCTGGAGAAGGAGCATATGATGAGATGCAGTCTAAAAATGGAATATGTCCACATCCCATAGGTAGCTTCTCAATCTAGGAAAATAAGAATGCAGAGCCAGGAAAAATATATGATGGCAGAGAATCCCTCTTCAAAATTTTATATGACCCTGTTCAGTTAACGACAAAGCGATGCATTGTTATAATGAATGAGAACCCTTTCCAAAGCGAATCAAAATCTATGAATTAGGACATGGGTGGGCAACTGCTGACCTTCCAGATGGTGGCCACTCCAGCTTCTCTTCGTATCACTGCCATTGCTGTCCTTTCCCAGTGGGATGGGTTGTGTTGAAACCATCTTGGGAAATGAGGCAGGCCCTGCAGAACAGGGAAGAGGGATGGAGGACCGGGTATTCACAATGCCAGTAATAGGACGACATGTTAACCCTTCTCCCTGTGTAACTGACATCAGGCCTTCCTGCCACTGCTAGTTCCGCAACAGGAACCCCCATGAGAGTGGCATGGAGCTCTTCCAGAAAGCAGCCAAGAAAGGTGCTCTTTTCTCTAGTTTCTGCTCTTCAAACAGGCTGACCCTTACTGCATTCCTGATAAGGAATCCTGACATTAGTTTAGGCTTCCCTCAAACTTTCTGAACTCCAATAAAAGACCGTGAATTGAAGGCTTTTGTCTCCATTC